TACACATAGATAGCTTCGATTAATTTCTTAGCCAAAGGGAAGGGAATTTTATCAAAAATTTCCATATAGAGCGTCAGCAACGAGGTTATATCGCCTTTTCTCAAGGCTGTCAAGTAGGATAACCGATGACTTGTAAATTGTAAGAAAAAGATATATATATATATATATATATATATATATATATATATATATAGACGGTCTATTCTGCTAATATTAGCAGAATAACTATTCTGCACACCGCTTTCGCACTGCACGCTCAAACAGAAGCGCACTGCATCATTTTGACGACGAGCACTGCAATAGAAACTAGTGAACTTCTCGTCGGAAAAAACTGCACGCGTTATTTTTTCGGTACTGTTTTCGCTATAACTTTTTAACCATTTATCGGAATGAGGCGTGTAATATACCATTGAAAAGCTATGGATTAGGCGCAACTTCGACATGTTGAACACTTTTCGAGATTCCACACGGTTTAAGAGCAGTTTTGAAAATAGTGCGGCGGATGACGAGTGGCAGCGAGCGTTTTTTCGCGTTTTTTTCTAAACCGCTTGTCGGAATGAAGCAAATGATACGCCGTTGGATAGATATCGTCGAGGCGCATCTTTTTCATATATAAATCTTTCTCTAACTTGTTACGGTTTAAGAGCAGTTTCAAATTTACAAAATCGCGGAACTCTGTTTTTCAAATTTTTTAAAATTTTCGGTACTGTTTTCGCTCCAGTTTTTGAACCGTTTGTCGAAACGAGGCGTGTGATATGCCGTTGGAGAGCTACGGACAAGATGCAACTTTCATATGTTGAAATGGGTTTGAGATTCCTTACGGTTTTTAGTTAATTTTGAAAATCGTGCGGCTGACTTCGAGAGGCAACGGCTGTTTTTTCACGAAATTTTTACAAACGGCTGGTCGGAATGATTCAAACGACACGCCGTTGGAAAGATATCGACGAGGCGCAACTTTTTCATGTAGAACAATCTATCTAATTCCTTACGGTTTAAGAGCAGTTTCGAATTTACCGAAATGCGGACACTGTTTTTCGCGACACCCAAATCAACGTGGGTACTTCATCCGACTGAAAACCGCACTGCTTGAGACTAAAAACCGCACTGCATCAAAGAGTCAAATGAACTTCATGAATTCTTTTGTCGGACGTAAATTTTCTCAGACGAGTTTTTGTTGTCTTTTTTTCAATATTTTGTATGAACGAGAGTGGACCGCAGAGACAAGGGCAAGTGAACCTCAACATATATCCAAGTGAACGGCACTACTATCTTGTTGTTTCGCTAAATTTCCGCACTTTCATGTTAGGAACAAGTGAACAGCATCACTCTCGAAAATGAACCACATCCGAGGACCAAGTGCACTGCATGTGTTTGACGGAATCGACTAGGTTTTGAAACACACAAGCACATCATGCACTTCACATAATCGACCGAGTTTTGAAACACACGAGCATATCGTGCACTTCACACACCAGCCGTGCAAACCGCAAGGAGTTCCCAAACGGACTGCATCTATTTTTTTTTACAAAAAATAAATACATTTGACTGAAGTGGACCACAATACTCCTCAAAGTGGTCTACATCACCGCGGCAAGCCGAGCCGCGATGAGCTGCACGCCACGCTCTCCATCGTTGTCGCGCGTGCACCAACGAGAGTGTCGTATTGCACGCCGCTAGGGGGCAGACTACGTGTGCCCGCGAGCCGCACGTCCACGTGGGTGTCAACAATCTGAAAGCATTCGCGAGCTGAACCACTGGTCTACAGAGCCCTTCTGGCCAAATTGCATCTACGCAGGGGGAGAGGCAGATTCTTGCCAGTGAATTACAAGGCCAACCTAGTTTCTGTTCAACACACAAGCAAAATTAAAATCATGGTGCGGCGCACTGCTCGCGGCATCCGACAACACTGCACATCCAAAGTTCAGAAAAAAGAAGAAAACCTTTCTAAACTGAACGGGTTCGTCGCTGCTGTTTTGACCTTCATCGCGTGGGATCCCAAGCAAGATAGGGAGGAGGGCAGAAGGTCGCCGCCGGGGAACGAACCACCACGCTGGGTATGGACTGCAGCAGGCGTCACAGTCAACTGCCACCGTCGGGGTAGGGAACGTCTGTAGCAGGACATGCGAACTGAATAGGCCATAGCGCCCGAGACCTTGCACGCGAGCCGCTGGGATGGACGCTCGTGGACCTCGCCAGGGTGATTTTGCACTCCACGCGCCGAGAGTGGAGGTTGGGGCTTGACATGGCAGGGAAGGGAAGGCCATCAGACACCCCCCATGCCCCTCTGGATCTGCTCGATGGTGGTAGGCTGGAGGTGGAGGAACTGGGAGGGGAGAGTCACCAGCGACCCCCGAGCTCACCGGCCGACATCCGATCTGTGAAGCCAAGTTACCCTCGATATGGGGACGGAGAGGACGCCCCCACGAGGTCTTGGTGTGGATCCGTTGTCGAGATGCCGCGGAGGATAACGACAGGGCGGATCCAGCTGCCCTCGGCCAAGTGGTTGGCAGGGATGGCGACACGCGGATCCGACGCCGACCACGCGCGAGAGCACTGCGATGGGCGGATCCGGTGGCTGGCCTGCGGCGGCAGGTGGGGCGGGGAGGGTAGGTGGTTCGAGGTGATGCGGCAGCGTAAGGGGGTGGAGGTGGCGTGGAGGTGCAGGGGGTGGAGGTGGCGGTGGGAGGTCGCTGGCCTGGGGGTGCGGTGGTGGGAGGTCGTGGGCCTGGCGGCGCGCCTGTGTGTTGGTGGATCGGGGGGCTGGGGCGTGGGAGGAAGAAGGTGGATGGGATCGGGGGAGGAGTGAGGGAGGTGGGCCGGTGGGTGTGCGTCCGGTTCAGAACTTGAGATGCGCTTCGGGGTCCGTTTGATCAGTGGGTTAGTCAGGTGTTAGCAGAATAAGAAAGTTGTGTGCATAATAAGGTCTTAAGGGGTGTTATCATAATAGACCCACCATATATATATATATAAGGTTGCTCAAATAAGAGATGATGTCACACTGCTTAAGATGATACTTTTGGTCCATTACACACCCTTCGTCCAAGTTTCAGTTCCCCTTTGAGTCTGACATCGACATAATTTTAACTAACAAATTATGAGTTATCTGTCACAATAAATATATCTCATCTCCACATAATTAGAAGTGCCACATAAGCAGGCTATAGGCTTGCTATCGTCATTGCTCTTATATAAAGTAAACATCGGCTGGTGGCCCATGAGGGGTTTGCAGCACCACCACCCATACATCCCTCGACCGACCTCCTCTATCACCATCACTCCCAAATCTGGACTCCTCCCGGAATCCTCTCTCTGATCCTCCCACAGTGCCAGCATCCATCATAGGGGTCGGCGGATGTGCTTCTCCTCACCCCGTGACCCAACCACCATGTACTGCCATCGCTACAGTTGCCACCTCGAGCTACTCCAACATACACTCCATCAAGCTGGCACCATCCTGTCTCTCTCGTCGTCCCACCTTCCTCAACCCCTTAACGACAGCTGCCTCCCGCGCCTAACTCTAGCCTGCCATTACCCTTGAAGCCCACGTTCATCTCCTCCACACATCGTCTTCTCTTTAGTTTCTCCTAGCATCAATCAAGTCCATGAAAAGTCCATCCGATCGTCATCCTCAACTAGTTTTTTTGCCAATTGCATCTTCCCCTTCATTCTCGATCTCCAGATCACTTAAGTATAAAACGTTTTGTCTAGATTATAAGGAAAGCCTGATCAAAAACCTTGTATTCTTGTTATTTTTTGCAAACAAGCAATGTCCCTACGTTGCACGTGGACTTCTCCCAAATCATGAAGTACCAAGACCAGAACATCTGGCCGTCTAGCTCCCCCAATGCAATTTCTCTAAATACCTTATGCGGGGGTCATGATACCTTATTTTATAATTTGGAACACCTCTTTTCTGCTTATTTGATATATAGATGGAGAATGATGCGGAAGATGGATTTCATCCTGTTTTCCTTATAGTATAAAAATTAATCTCTTATAGCAATATTTATTTTATTTGTCACAATTATAAGATTTTAAACAACAATTAATATTTTTGTGATGAATTTAATGATGATTTTATCATTCTCCATAGCAATATTTATTATATATATCTACTAGCGCGATGGCCATTCAGTGTACAATAAAATCATTTTTTACGAGGTTACAATAACATCATTTTCTTAGTGCTTCAAAGGTGTATCTTATGTAGACATTCTATAGGATATTTGGATGTTCATACATTTTTAAAGGTGTATCTCTAGCATCTACTTGCATATTACACATGATCATGTTGCTAATAAATAACATAAAAGAATTGAGAAATGATTTTGATGAAAAATCTGATGCTGTTCATTTATTTTGTTCTTACCAATATATTTATTAAGTTAGGCGCCGAGTGGTAAGAACATCAATAGAACTGACCCGCATTTCATGTGCCCTTAAACCTTCGGTCCTAATAATAAATAATCATTTACATACTCGTCCATCGATGCTGGAATTTTCTACGTACTAATTGTATATATAGCATCGTAAGAAGAATATAGTTCTGTTAGCAACAAAAGTAAATTAGGTTCTCACCATTTATATCTATTACAATGGATCATCAGTTGCAACTTTTGATTAAAAACAAAGTTATAATTTCTCATTCAAACTAAATAAACATAAGATGTAATCAAAGATGCCGATGAAAACCAAACCAAAGCTAGACTGATCAACCACTTTTGAACCAAATCATATAACTAAGTATTTTATTTTTCTAAAGAATCATAAATTATCGAATTAAATATTAACGTAGCATCGTATACGTTCCAGACAAACAACAAAGAGTCAACACCTAGTACTTTTGACAAAAGAACATAGTATCATATATAGAAGCATGTAACTATTGTTTCATTAAAATTTACATAGTTTTTTCAGTTTAGATTTATTTCCATACAAACTAGTAACCAATTGAAATCATGCAATTTTTAATGATCTTAATAATTTTTTTGTAGCTCAAATTACCTCTTTGTTGAAGGCATACACCGACTGGTCTTCAGAGAACTGTGCAGCTCCCATACTTGGAATGGGTGTCCGACGGACAAGCTTGCTACTTCGGGTTGCTGCGTGGAGACGATGATGCAGCTACCATTCCTTCTTTCTAGGAAAAACTTGCTGATAGCATCCAAGACGACGAGGGACCTTTTGGTATTGACTTGCTGCACAAACTCATTGAGGTAGTGCTCGCCATGGGTGGTCGACTCCGACGTCCTTGTGAGGACATCAACACCAATGATTTCTCCTTCTTTTTGTTCGCGCCCGTTCGCATAGAACTGATCCGTCATGCACCGGACAAACTCGTGGGGATTGAAAGGATGCATCAGCTTCACCCATGCACGGCAGGAAAATTTCTGGCGGATTCCTTTGTCATTGTATGCCTTCCAGATGATAGAGGTAACACCAAGATCCCCACTTGTACCCAACACGGAGATCACTCCGGTCATGTGGCTGGTGATCAGCTGGGTGAGATCCCCTTGCTTCTGCCTTGTCCCAACACCCCCGATGAGCATGCCGAGTGCCGCCGTCCCGGGCACCGCCGTCCCGGGCACCGCCCACTGATTCTGCTGCACGAGGGCGGGCTTGGACCCTGTGTCGCTGATCAAACAATAGCGTGTGTTCCGGGTGCTCACGTCGATCACCCTAGCCTTGAGCTGCTCAATCTCGTGAACCGCCTCATCCAGCGGCAGCGCCGGCGCAATGCACGACGGGATAAGGCGGAACCACCAGCTAGCCTTCTTGTCGAGGTGGACGACGAACTCGATGCAGTCCTCCACATCGTAGGCTAGCTCGCGGATCTGCCTCACCCAGGTCATCACGATTTTGTTCTCGATGCGCTCGGCGTTGGCCATCGCGAGAAAAGATTGCATCATCTGGAACTCGCCGGTGATGAACACAAGGTCACGCTGCGCGCTATCACGCAGCTTGGCCTCCTCTCCGATGACCGCATGGGCCTTGCTCAGCGTCCCCTCCACCACCCACTTGGCCAACCCATCCGCCAGGTCCGCTATGGCTCTCTACCTGCTATCTCAGGATCAGAACTCGATCAATCTTCTCCTTGGGTTTAGTGTTTCTTGTCTAGAGAGTGCTATAGTAGTGCATCGGCAGCCCATGGGATTTTGTTAAAAAGGGAGGGTCACCAGCTACGCCAAGCATAAATCATTTTCACTATAGACCCTCACAAACTTCAATATCTTACTAGTGGATCAGGGATTGCGCACACGAGAGTGTGATTGTGATGGCGAACAGGTAACCGACGCCAACATTATGGAATATGACTTTCTAGCGGCTGTAGTTTACAAGGTCCAAGTATCACTTCTGATAAGGTTGCCGGACTAAAGTTTTTTATGGGTGTAATAAGTATACAATAATAGTACATAGTAGTATTGATTATTTGTGAGACTGAAGACGTGAGAAAACAGTTCGATATTCATTTAGTTTACCATTCATAAACTTTGTAGATTGGTTTCATTGTCCTTTTGTTAGGATCCAGGAGTACATTATCTGGTGTCTTCGCGCCTGAGCTCCGTTTTGGACTCATCTTGGACAGAACTATCCAATGGTGACTTCCAATCATAAATTTGACTTCATCAGTTGTAGCTTCAGTCCACTTTTTGCGACCATTGCCATTTTTTAGTGCAACACACCATCCGGAGAGGAAGTGGTGCTAAGCGTCACTGCAGTCGAGTGCGAGATAGACAAGAATCTTCATATGAAATCCTAGAACGGAGAGGAGAGTCACAATGACATCCTCAAGAGGAGAGTGACATACACAGGCGTGCCGCCGTTGATGCCAAAGCGCGTGGTTTCGCTCAGCATCTCACTCGTACCAGCACGAGGTACCTAGGACACCCACGACAAGCACGGAGTTCTAGATCCAGATTTGGACGTCGCCACTGCCATAATAGAGGGAGGGCCGAAGCCACCTTCCACTACACCCCTCACCGGCCCACGGCCAAAGGCATAGCCACCACCGCCGCCATGATGCCCAAGAAAGAGCCAACCTTACGAACCACCACTCGGGGCCACTGTCCCGGCATCCCAGACTGGAGACTCCGCCAACACACCAACTACAGTACGAATTACAAAAGGCACCACCATCCACTGCAAGCCCGGCACTAGCCATCGCTCCACGCCTCCATTATAGCAAGCATACATGATAGCACTCCCACCGAGTTTGGTTGGAGCGGTGGGGGCACTCCTCAGTGACTACAACAACCGTCGCCAAGCAAGTGCCGATGATAGCCAACTGTCCTTGGCCCAGGCAAGCTCAAAAGACGGCAGGCCCGTGACCATCGGCGCAGATCTGTACGACCGCTCACCGATGCCAGGACGCCTCAATTTGCTAAATGGAGCCCGCAAACCACAACACTAGAGCATGCTGACAGAGCACGTGGGGCGTGTCGTCACGCCGGCACCACGTCTTCCACCCGCAACCCACCATCGCCCAGTCCCATCGGCGCACACCAGCTCGCACATGCGCACGAACCCACACCCCTCTTTGATCATCCGACCAAATCTAGGTTGAAAGCCCAGCCACCATCGCCTCACCCTGCTACACCACCAGGAAGCCCCCCACCGCTATAAGAGCCACCACCATGACATCACAGATCCCACCCAAACCGACGCTCAAATAGGGCCGCCACCACCATCCCTCCTGAGCTAAGCCACTGTACCAGATCTAGAGCGCCGCCAACCTCGCCATGCGCACTCGATGTTCGATAGACTCCGTGACTCCTATACGAATGCGCACTCTTGGCCCATCCAACGCAGAACTACCACACTGCCGCCCCCTTGTCAGTCGGCATTTGTTTGTGCCACCACCGCCACACAAGGGGGGGGGGGGGAATGAAGCCTCTCCACTATAACGGAGAGGAGGAAAGAGTAGGTAGGAGACGAGGGAGGCCAGGGTTGGTGGCTCACCAGCTGCCATTCGCGGGAGCGAAAGGGCAAGAGGTGTTTTTTTCTTGAAGCGCCCATCTCACACCCTTCTGCTCACAGTTCATCCAACTTTTTAACAAGGTTGAATTTATTTAGCTAAAAATGGAGCATCAACAGGATACAAATACAAAAAGCACACACCCAGGCTCTGCATAGCTAGGATGGACGTAACGAACATCACTGAGTGGACACGAAAAAACATGCTTAAAAATAGGTAAGTCGTATAATAACAAAGCTAGGCGTAGGGTAGGAAAAAGGAAAACCCCAAAGCAATCAGATCCATGACCAACAAACTACAACAATGATCATAACCGCTCCAACCGTCTCATGACACCGCGGGAAGGACGAGGTTTGTCAACAATATACTTCAGGAAGGGATCGATAATCAAGCGTCAACGTCACCGGATCCAACGACCAAGTCCATAATCTAGGTTTTCACCCTAAAAATTAAATCCCAGCAATGCATGGAACAAGGTAATGACGATAAAAAAATCGCCTTGCCAGGTATAAGGTAACTAGCTCGGCCAGACATAAGCTTCACCCCCCCCCCCCTAAGCTCAAGATCGGATGCTCGAGTAGCACCACCAGTGAAGTCACTCCAGTGTTGCCTCCGCCACTTTTCGCGATCCCAGGAGTTACATGCGATGCGACCTTCACCGCTAAATAACCATCCCTCTGCCTCAAGTCGTCGTCTATAATTTGCATCTCACCCCCAAAATCAACCACTAGATCTTGAGAGATGAGCACTTCTGAACGTAGTCACATCCCAGACATACGCCGCCCCCCAATGTCAAATCTGACCAGATCTAGTCGGAGACTAGCCCGCACACGGACGTCTCAATGTAGCACAACCCGAGCCCACCCTGAGGGAGGCCTGACGCCCATGGCAACACGCAGCCGTGAAAGCAACCACTGGGGCATCGATCCATAGCAGCACACCTGGCGAGCACTACCTGCGGTCGTTCACCTCCATGCCATATGAGTCGCCACTGGGTCCGCTTCAGCCGTCGCGGAGTTCCCCCATGAGCCGCCAACAAATGGGCATGCGCTGATCGGTCACCGAGCCCTACCGCCCAACGAGACGAAGCACCACGGCGATAGACCGCCCCGACGCCCTCGTTGGCCGGATGGCCTTCATCTGGTGTCGTCCTCTGACAATTGTGCGGTGGGAGGCAGCTGGGGAGGGTGCCGGTGGCGGCTAGGGTTGAATATGCGCCCATGTCACTATTGGTAGGACGATGTTGGGTGAGGCGTTCTTTTTCCCACCTGATCCAACTTACTTGCCTTCTACTCACTCCATCCCATATTTGTTGCCGCCAAAATAGATGTATCTAGGCATATTTCAATGTTAAAGGGCTGGGGACGTCACCATCTGGTAGTGGGTGATACAAGCGACCTGCCCTCGAGCCCATTTGGCCTAGCCCCCGCGTCGTGCTTCTCGGGGCGACTCGGGCGGTACCGTACACGCCCACGCAGGGCTTCCTCCATTATGGTCTCTCTCCCCTCGCCGCCGCCCCATGGTGTTTGCCGGACAAAGCTCGCGCAGACCCAGCTTTGGCGGGACTCTAGCATCCTTGGGTGGCTACCATTGAGTAGGGGGCTTTTACGGCGCCGACAGTGTTGTGCTCCTGCGCACAGGTCAGGTGCCTGGGTGCGACAGGGGATGGTGGCGGCTGCATGCGTGCTTCAGCACGTGGAGGTACCGATCACCCAATCTGATCTGGATCTGGTTGGGTTGGTGCTCGACCCATGGTTGCGGTCGGGCAACAGCTGGCTAGCTGCGTGCATGCTGTAGCGTGTGGAGGTACCAATCCCCCCGATCTGATCAGGATCTGGATTGGTTGGTGCTCGGCCCATGGTTGCGGTCATGAAGCAGTGAGCTGGATCGGGGCGGCGTGGAGGCCTGCTGCCGTGATATTGAAGGTGGCGGTCCTCGTGCTCCTCCCACATCACGGCAACTGAAGGAAATATGCCCTAGAGGCAATAATAAAGTTATTATTTATTTTCTTAATTCATGACAAATTTTTATTATTCATGCTAGAATTGTATTAACCGGAAAGTTAATACATGTGTGAATACATAGACAAAACATATAGTCCCTAGTATGCCTCTACTTGACTAGCTCGTTGATCAAAGATGGTTATGTTTCCTAACCATAGACATGTGTTGTCATTTGATGAACGGGATCACATCATTAGGAGAATGATGTGATGGACATGACCCATCCGTTAGCTTAGCATTATGACCGTGTCACTTTCATTACTACTTCTTTCTTCATGATTTGTACAAGTTCCTCAGACTATGAGATTATGCAACTCCCGAATACCGGAGGAACACTTCGTGTGCTACCAAACGTCACAACGTAAAAGGGTGATTATAAAGGTGCTCTACAGGTGTCTCCAAAGGTGTTTGTTGAGTTGGCATATATCGAGATTAGGATTTGTCACTCCGTGTTTCAGAGAGGTATCTCTGGGCCCTCTCGGTAATACTCATCACTATAAGCCTTGCAAGCATTGTGACTAATGAGTTAGTTGCGGGATGAAGTATTACAAAACGAGTAAAGAGACTTTCCGGTAACGAGATTGAACTAGGTATGATGATACCTACAAACGAATCTCGGGCAAGTAACATACCGATGACAAAGGGAACAACGTATGTTGTTATGCGGTTTGACCGATAAAGATCTTTGTAGAATATGTAGGAACCAATATGAGCATCCAGGTTCCGCTATTGGTTATTGACCGGAGACGTGTCTCGGTCATGTCTACATAGTTCTTGAACCAGTAGGGTCCGCACGCTTAACGTTCGATGACGATTGACATTATGAGTTTATGTGATATGATGTACCGAAGGTTGTTCGGAGTCCCAGATGAGATCACAGAAATGACGAGGAGTCTTGAAGTGGTCGAGACATAAAGATTGATATATTGGA